TGTCGGGGCGGGCGGGCACCGGGCCCGGTTCGTGATGAAGCGCAAAGCGAACCCGTCGCTGGAAGCCGAGGTTTTGTAACTGCTGGGTGGTGGCGTGGTGCTGCCTTTAGATCGGCGCGGCATAGAGGCGAAAATCCGGGCAAAAGTAACATTTATTTCCCACTTTCTCCTTCGTGCTACTCGGAGGAGACAAGTTAGTGCTGAGCGGGGTTCACCTTGACGGGGGGCTGCAGCCGTCCTGCTGGTTACGCCCCTGGTGTGGGGCAGGCTTGCCGGCGGGGCCCAGAAATGGAGGGGGTCACTGTTCGGCTCTCGCTGCTTTCACGGCGTGTGCTTCGCCTCACTCCAGGGGGCATAGAAGTCCTGCGAGGAGGGGTTCTTTTTTAGGAACTTATCTGTCTTACTGTGGGATGGAGAAAATGGCAATTCGTTCCATGTGGGTTTAGTCCACGGTGTGTAACTTAGAGAATAATAGTAGTGAATTTTACCATGAGGAAAAGTTGGGTATGTGGCATATAGAAGATATATGTGGGATGACTGGCTCCGTTCTTAAGAGCTCAGAGAAATGATCTGATGTTGTGTTGCGATTTATTCTGTAGAAAAAAAAAATCAAAAAACTGCCAAACCAGACAACTAGTCTGACTAATTTTAAGAATCCGAGGTATTAGCCTTGTACAGAACGTTGAACGTTAAGGCTCTTCCTTATCAATTACAGAATGGCAATGTGGCATAGCTGTTCCTACCAACAGTGATGCAGAGAGAAGCAAAGACAAGATTTTCAGATTTTTTTCCAAAGCTTTATTAAAAAAACCTATTGAATTGCATTCTTACACGTTAAATTCTTTGATCTTTGCAAACCTCTCTGTAATCCTAAACCTGGTACGTTGAGGGGGCAAGGGGCTGGATGATTTCCAGAAGCAGCAGGCAGTATGGCTGCTGTAGGACGTTAAGTCTGAACAGTCTTGTCACCTGTGACTGTCAGCTGAGACTGGCATTCTGGTCCATGTGGCAGCAGGGTCTACCTGGTGTGAATTTGTGATTTTCTCATGGGGGATAATACTTATATAGATGCCATCTTTTAGAAACCTTCTTCTTGAGGTTGTTTTTGCCAGTGTTACTTATAATACCTAAACTTACTTACAGAGAAAGGGATGAACAGGAATTGCCTTTTTCTATTTTCAGTTCTATTTGAAGTATTTTACTTTGTTTTTCTTATCCGCATGGTGTTTCACATCACGGGGAGGGAGGAACACATAGGGTGGAAATCATTAGAAGTGTGATAATACTTGATGTTATTTTTTATTCCTTTTTCCAATGGCTTAGATTTCTAGTTAATATCTGGTTTAAGAATTTAACAGTTTTACAAGTACCCTATATGTAATTTTTTAAATCTTTTTTCTTTTTCATTAAAGGTGGAGATGAACTACGGTAACTAAAGTAAGAGAGCTCTGGATACTAGTTTTGTTAAATTAACTTCAAACCCGTTAATTGCCTTGCTGGAAGCAAATTCTTCAAGTTTACCATTATGGCACTGACTATTACGTGGCTGAATAGTGCTTACTTACATGGTAGATGCTGCAGGCAAAAAGTTTTGCACCCCTTACTCAGACCTCTCCTCAGTGATTCCATGTCAAAATTGTATAGCAGCTACAGGAGACCAGGGTCAAAGCCTGAGAAAAAAACATTTTGGCAAAGTATTGATTTCAGTTTTAAGAAGGGCATTGATGTCTTAAAGACTCAGCTAAGCATGCTAAAGGAGGAGACCAAAGATCACTTAATAGGACCTGGAGGCCGTCCATTTAGTCACTACCTGTTGGAACAGACAAGGGTGTTGTGGGAGTTTCGGAGCCAAGAAGATTTAAAAAAGTGGGTGATTTCCTCTGATGTAGAGATTGGAGGGAAAAGTGAAGTTTTCCTCAAAATGGGTAGGAATAACCAGACTGCTCTGCTGTATGGAATCCTCAATACAGAAGTACCTCGTGATGGGGAAACAAAATACAGTGGATATTGTAGTATGAGAGCTAAACCACCAATGGTAAGTAAAGCTTCATGTTTGCATAGCATCTGTTGTTTAATTGGAGAGCATTTTTGTGTAGTCCCCCTGCAGTTGAAACTGACCACTCTCAGGAGTATTAGATATTCCTTCAGGGATGTAATTGCTGCTCTGACCTTTGAGCTGGAAGGAACTTAAACAGCTTCTTGGATTTTGTTTTCCTTTCTTGGAATAGTATATGTTTGATCATTTATTTATGTACAAAACGGCATAATACACCCCTGTTTTCAGCCTCCTTGCAAATGAAGGATCTGTAATGAACTTTTATATCCAAAATTGGTATGATTAAAATAGGTGTGTCTCTAAATTTGAAGTTAATTGAATGTGTCGTAAGGACAAAATTTCTGAGTTTTAACTTGGCCTATTCATCAGATTTGGTTTAGGTGAATGAGCTCATCTTTTTTTCTCACAGGAACAGAAATTATGCTTTGCAATGTACTTTTTAAAGGTCTGATTCCTACTTACATCAGAAAAAGTGAGACACAAATCTTTGATAGCTCAAAATTGAGCAAAACAACCAGAAATGGATGTGCCTATTATCGATGCTGCTTGTTTCATTCCTCATTTTTAAGCACACTTAAAAGCAAAGCAACATTTTGACTCAGTGTATAAAATGTTTTATTTTTTAGTCTGTTCTATTGTTTGTGAGTTGGCACAGGTACACAGGTAAAACCTTTTCTAGGCCAGAAACTTGGAGAGCAGAGAGTAAGAGCAAGCAAAATCAATGGGCAAATGAGAGGCAGGCGAACGCTGATTAAAATGGTGACACTGGGTTGCTCAGAGGAGTGGAACAGCAAGTTGAATCTCATCTGAGTTAAATCTCCAGGACTGCTACTGACTTGTACAAATGAGACTCAGACTTTCACCTCCTAATTCTGAAGTAGTGGAGTGTATCAGTCCATCTTTATAATGCAGTTTGAAATCAGAGAGTGAAAACATAAATACAAAGGCACTTCTTTAAATAAAAAGGCTCAAAACTGGCAAAACCATAAAATTGAGTAGCCACGGGCCTTGTATTAAGGTATTGATGATCTACTCATCCTGTTAACTGTCAGATGAGTTGGTAGAAGGACAATTGATAGGTAACAGCAGTAGTGGTGCTGTGAAATCAAGGGAAAGCCTCTGAATTTTTAGCACTGATTTTTGTCTTGGTTAAAGCAATTCTGGCCAAGAATAGCCCTGATCCCTACCCCCCATCTCTCCAGGTGACCTTTGTGTAACTCTCTGAAGACTGCTGGATCTGCCTGTGTGCAAATAACACCACCAGGTCTTTCAAGATCTTTGGAAAAAAATGCAAGCAAGAATTAGACATGCTTGCAATCCATATCTTTATGCACAGTTAATGAGAAGGTGTTGGAAAACATTAAATGCTTCTAGGGCTTACGTCAGTCTAAGAGAAGTTATCACAGGAGATAAATCATCCCACTTCTTCAGTTTCTTGTAATCACCTCTGAATAACCTAGTACTTGCCACATAATATTAAACTTAACGGACTACTTTAAACTTAACAAACTACATAATTTTTCATCCATCACTATATTGTTTCTGTACTTGCCTGGCAGGGAATTTGGTTCTAGGAAGGAGGTCTGTTTGCTGGTAGTTACAAGATTGTGGTTTAGAAGTATAGCACGAGTCCTCAGAGTGGTGATACTGTGATTTGTGGGCTCTAATACAGTCCTGAAGGAAATTCAGTGAGATCAGCAACTAGTATGATGAAAGAGTAATCCAGTTTTTACTATGTCACAGTAGATACTATTTGATGACATAATGAGGGCAGTGATCAAAGCAGTAGTGCTCTGTTCTTTGTAACAGAAGTTTCCCTTTCTTAAGGAGGAATAATTTTATTTATTACTAATTTGTAGGGATCTTTTGCTAGGAAGAAGTATTACGACTGGTCAAATTTCAACAGTCTGTATTTACGTGTCCGTGGCGATGGCAGACCTTGGATGGTAAACATTTATACAGACCCTTACTTTTCTCATCAAAAGGATGATCTCTACAACTACTTCATGTTCACGCGAGGAGGCCCCTACTGGGAGGAAATAAAGGTGAATTAATGAGTCTCTCTAACAAGACTGTCTTCAGGCCTTGGCCATAGCCCTGTGGAAGGGGAATTCCTTCAACAGCCACAGTTTGTTGCTATTGCTGTCCATTCAACGGTGTTCTGTCATGTATCATACAACAGGCACGTGCCTTTGGCTTGGGAGTTCCCCAAACCGTACATCTCTGGATTGTGGGAGGGCATGCTGCATCAAGCATATAAAAGATTTGATTCACTATATGTTCACCAAAATGCCTGCTGTTAGCTATTACTGGGGTAACAGAACAGATGCGATGATGGCAGCTCAGCAGGTGTTGCCAGGAATATTTGCTGAGATAACCATTTTGTCTGTAATACAAATGGATGTAGAGTGGTGTGGGGTTCGTACCTCTGACAGGATGTGCTTAACTCCCTGTAGTCAGTCAGAGGTTCCCATGTGGTTTGTCATTTACGGCCTTTGAATCTGTGATGCAAAATAATAATTTGGAAGAAACTGGAGTTTTGGCTTTTTTCTGAGGAAACTTGGAGAGCTTTTGTAATTTGCCGATGACAACATTAAGGAGGTTTGCATGTCCTTTTGAATTGGCATGGAGTGCTTCGTACTGAGAAGAGCCCAGTGTTGTGCAGACGAGGAGTCAGGAAGATAAAGATGGGTGTGCCCTTCCTGGCTTGTGTGCTTTCCTCTTGCCCCCACCAGCCAGCCCTCCTGTTTCCTACCTGCATTTGAAGTCACATTTACCTTATTCTGAACTGCTTGGCTAAAGTCTGATGTCTCAGTATGAAATTTGCACTGTGAACTAAATACACAGCTTGGGTACAGAGGAGCTGTTGATACACACGCATGCTAGACTTGTCATTAGTTTCCATTTTATGTTGACATTATGGGAAGAAGACATTCTGGATCTGAACAGCCACCTTCCGTGCTGCAGTCTCTCATTGTGTCCTAACAGGGTGACAGTCCTGCGTGATGGCTACCAACGGCCACCACAGCACAGTGTGGGCCTGGAGCAGGCTGCGAGGGCCAGTTCTATGTATCCAACCAGTGCTGGTACCAGGTGTAGCAGAGCATCATTTCATTTGCTAATGCAGACTTTTTTTCTCCTTAAATTTTTATTTTATGTACTGGTGACACTAAAGTCTGGTTTGGTTTTGTTTCTGCCAGATTCCGTTCTCCAAATTCTTTCTCTCCAGTCGGGGAAGAGTCCAAGATGACCAACATCCTATCTGGTTAGACAAGGCAAGTTTTCTATAGGATTTATCTCTCTGAAGTTTCCTGTAAGATTATATTGTCATGATATAGATAATGTACAAACCCTTTAACGTTTGTGAATTTGAAATCAAAGGGCCTCTTCTTGTTATAAGGTACTTATTATTGTATGCTTGCCTTTGCATTTCAATTATCCTACTTTGTGATAGCAGTGTCAGTTTATTTCAAAGGAGCTCCAAAACTATTTTTAAGAGTTCTATATAACCAAGAAACAACTCACAACTTGACTTTAAAAAAACACAATAAAAATTTTTTTGATGATCAAAGTGACTAAGAAATCTAAAATGCCACTTGTCACAGTACTGCCAAAAATAATAAAAGTGTCATAAACTTTCTTCCTGACAGAAGACTGTCAGCGTTATCATATGGTGGGATTTTACTTGAGGATGTACTGTATCAGTGACCTTGATGGCGAGCAGCACACTGATGTATTTATAGGCTCTTTTTTTTTGTTTTTTTCAGGCTTTCTAGTCTAAGTATTAAGTAAATGTGTGGAGCATTTTTTATTTTATTTCTGCAAATAAGCAGATTAATTCGCTGGTTCACAGGAGGAGACATGCTGGAAAAAAATGTTTCTGTATCTTTTTTGTTCCTTTTAAATTGTGACCCTCCAGTATGTAACTGAGGGCAGCTTAATACCCAGTGACTACCAAAAAGAAAACAGTGTTAGAAATCTGTGTTTATATATTAAAAAAAGGGAAAAAATTGAGAGCAATTCAGTGATTGGAAGCATGAAAACAAACTGTTTTAAAACAGAAGTTGAGGCTGTAGAAAGGAGATATGAATGATATGGAGGAGGATCAGCTACAAGAAAAAATATGCCTTATGGAAGTTGTTTGTTATAAAAGGTCTGTGTTTAAATTCAGAAACTGAAAAATTTATTAGGATTTGGAATATACAGCCATTCAAAATGGGAAATGAAAATATAAAGTTGTATATGGAGTGTTTAAAAATATTCACTTGATCTAAGCATCCTCCACTTAATTTTCATTCCTTGTTATCTTATGCTTCATGTCACAGTAAAAATGACGCACTTGCATATAATATGAAGTGTAACTTTACAAATGTGTTTTAAGAAAACCTAAAACTGTGGGAAGTGGAGTGAAGGCAGTAAAAGAAATCTTAATCAAATGTCTTGGTCCCTCCCCTTTGTTCTGCTATTTATTTAGCGTACATTTGCAGTATAAATTTGGTCTCAGCCTACAGTTTTTCAACATTATCTGACACATACTTGGCATTAAATGATGCCTAGCTGTCCTAAAAATCATGGGTTTGGCTCAGACCTGCACTCCTAACAGGGCTTAAGGGCAGCTAAGAGTTTGAGAGGTGGCCTGCCACCGGCGGCCAACTTGTTCTGAGAACAGCTAACACTGGGGCTCTGAAAGGCAACTAGTGACACGGCAGAGCTTTCAGGCCAGCCACAGGCTCATAGGAAGTGTGCCTGAGCCACCCCAACTTTCATGGCATTTATTGCAGTTAGAATAAAAAATATTTTTTTTTTAGTTGGAAGAGTGGAGGAGAGGAATGAGGAATGTTCTTGTATTTAGGAATGTTATTCTAATTGGGAAACAGTGGCTAAGAACCATGCCCAAATATAAAACTCGGTAACAAATTTTTATGCATTTTAAAATGTGTTTTGGTGCACTTTCACACTATATTGGGTGTCTGAATTGATCGAGGAAGATTTCCTTCCATCCTTTATTACATGGTCTGCTCACAAAAGAATTGTAAGAAGCTTCATGAAAATGTGTTTGTACGCTCAGTCATGGTAAAACTGGCCCTACACAAACCTTGAAGGATAACAACTGCAGCATTGCTTTGGACTCAGGCCATGTTTACTAAAGGGTTCAATGCATTGGTAGAAAGGCAAGTGTGAGGTGGCTTCCCACTGGGGTCTGTATCAAAAATGTGATAGTGAAGTGTTCCAGCCTTAAGAAAAGCTGCTGCATTTTGAACAAATATGTTTAAAGTAGATGGCCATCACTTGTTTGTAAAATATGAAAGTAGTAGATAGTTGTGTTTGACTGTAACATTGAGTATTGTTGTAAGGTCTGTATCTCTTTGTTAGATCAGTACCCTTGGATTCACAATTGGAGATAAAGTAGATGGTCCATTCCAGCTGGAGATTGATTTTATTGGCCTGCTAAATGATAGAGCTCATACAGAGGAATTTGCCTATGAAACGTATGAAAAGAATCCTCGAGTCTAAGGTGAGCTGGTGGCCTTTGGGACATTCATCAGATGTGTGGTTGATTTTGATAAAACACTTACTGTGTGGCTTAGAATCTGGGGAAATATCAGAGTGAAGCATTGACTGTAGTAATCTGAGTGACAATGTTGGCACAGTTGAGTGGCCAAAGACAGTATCCTGGATAGATTGTATGTAACACAGATTGGACCAGAGCCTGAGAAGAGCTGTGATGTGTTCCTGCAAAGTAGTAACTGCTGACTGGGGAAACTGAAGTCCTAACCTTTACAGAAATAAAAGTATTTAATGAGCTTGATGTATTTTTTTGTACACTTTAATTTTCTACATTAGATGGTTTGTAGACAGTTGTAAAACACCCCCATCCACTAGTTTTAAACTGGAGAAAGTGTGATGAGAATTAATACCCTGAGGAATGGTGCTTAAGTGTGACTCAGCCCCTGAAGTTTACAAAGAGCAGCACCAGAAGTGAAAAAGGCAGAAGTATTTCAACCTTTAGCTGTGGCTCCTCTGAAAACTAAAAAAAGAACATGCTGTCCCTGCCAAGATGGAAACAGCAGTGATGCAGCAGGCTTGGCCTTTAGTTCAGAACTGCTGCCTGACCCTCCTACAGCTTTCTGGAGCTGAGGCTGTTGAACAGAAGTAACACTGCCAGGGTGGGGGTAGGAGGAACCCACTGCCCCTCCCTCTGCTCCCTGGGGAAGGCAGAGCTGAGCTTGATTAGCACCTTTCAGGGCAGAGTAGATCACACTTCTGAAGACAGCTGTAGTATAAGAAGCTCCATGGCACAGAAGTTCCATGCCTCTTTTTCTGAGAAGTCTTGTTTTTCAGTAACTTGAGAAACACTTCAAAGAACAAGCAGTAAATGGTTTCATTTCAGCTGTCACAAACTTAGTGCTTTGATTAGATTGACCTCCACTGCAGTGACCCTCTTTAAGTGTACTTTACAAATGTTAAACATGCCTACAGGAAGCAAGCTGAAGCAGCGTCTTGTATTATCATTTACCTCTTGCACAGAATTAAATAGACCAAGAGCAAAAGAAGGTAGAGGGTTATTCTTTCTAAATATGCTTTCATGAAGCAGGAGGCAGGCTAATCAGTAAGGAAAACTCACCACAAAAAAAGATACTTTAGTAAATACAAGTGTGAACAAAACTAGTGCTACATTAAGGAGGTTGTTGTACACTAGATGATAAAACCAGTGATAAACAGCATATGTACAAAATATTTATTTCCCCCTCATTAAGTTTTTAACAAAACAACTTTGTTTTTGTCATTTCAGCATATATTTGATAGAACACTAAATTTGTTTAAATAATTATTTGCTCAAAGTTCTAGCTGAGATTACAATTACTAAATTGCCTTTCAAGTTCCATCTATAACAAATCTAGACAGCATTTCTATGTATTTAAGAGTAACAATAACAACAGCTTTTAAGTCTATGGTATCAGATGTGCCTCAACACTACTGTAGCCTTTTAAGCATCATAGATATGAAAAGCAGAATTTTGCTAACATCTGCAATTTACCACAGAAAGGGACAACCTTAACTGTTCAAAGCATCCAGTTGGTAGCTTGTAAAGCCACTTTTCAGTTGTGAATTTTAAAAAATATTGTATTTTACTATTAAGTTATGCTGTTAGCTGTTAGTTTTCCAGAGAGCTTGAATATTTTTTCTTCTCTTGGAAATTCCCTATTATTTCATAGGTCTGCAATTAAAAATGGTGAATAATTACTGTAGCTGTTGTTACAGAATTTAAGAAGTGACCTAGAGAATGGGGCAAGCAGAAGTTTCCAACTCCTTTAATCTAGCAGTGGTACATTTTGAAGCTCTCTATCCAAAGCAAGCATTCTAGGGGGGTAACAAATGCATGCTGGTAGACAAGTCTGGCCTAAGTTGCAAGGAGGCTTCTGGAGTATTTTTTTTTTTCCCCACTTACATGTTCTTCTTTAACATCTTTTGGTAAATGAGTTAGTTAAATGAAACATTACTAAAGAACTGGAAGTAGTTCTAAAGTTCATGAAAGTTTAGAGCTCTCATCTCTGAGAAGCTGATCACTAAAACATTATGCCAGATGCATTGTAAGGCCTCATTCAATGCTCTCTGGAGTCTACTAGCTAATAGCAACCAGAACCATACACAGACAGCACAAATATTTACATTATAGGAACAGTATTTATAGTAATTTCTTCAATATTTCTTCTCCCTCCTAACCCACAGAAAGCCCTCTACGGTTTCTAAGAGCCTCTGCCTTTTTCTTTTTTCTCTCTTGCTCATGTTTCTCACGCCTTTCTTCCCTGAAGGGGAAAAAGAAGAGACACAGACCATATCAAGTTAAAGGTAGACACAAAAGCAACCAGAAGAACCCAAAGTTGACCAGGGCTTAACATGTACTTGACCAGCGTGCTGTGTTTGCATGGGCAGAGAGAAAACAGCAGCATTTTGGACTGAATCCAAATATTTAGGCAAATACTTCTGCTTAGACATACAGGTTTAACATTCAAGGTAACCACATGTCTCTGTCCACTGTCCACCACTTCTTCCGAGGTGAAGGTAGATCTCCAAACACTAGTACTGGTAGCTTTCACAGAATAAAACCATCAGAATCAGAGCCGCCCTTTTTGTTGGCCTTTCTAATATCAGACAGACTATTGGAGGCAAAGATTGCTTCAATGTAAAAGTGCTCTTTCCTGAACTGCATATTTAAATCCTAACAAGAAAAATGAGCCATTGTATTTTAAATAACACTATTCATAAAAAGCTAGTGGTGTACTAACCTTGTCTGGAGAGGTGGCTGTTTGTAATCTTTCTTACGCAAAGAGATGTTGCTACCGCCAGACTTACTGAGGACTGTATTCTCTTTATATTCTCCCCAAGGTTTTAGTCGTCCTACAATTTAGGGCAAAAAAAAGAGACTATTGAACTACTAGTTTAGTAGTTGTGTGCTTAACTTCTCATTGTGAATTTTATACTAGCAAGCCTGTTTCTGCTGGTTGACTAAGATGAAATGCCTCTTCAGCTGTATTATGTTTCACCAGCCCATTCCCTACAGTTAGTTTTTCTGTAAGTAGTAACAGGTGACTGTACTTACAAGCAGCACTCACCATACAAAGTTCAGCTTCTCACACAATAGTGCACTTAAAAATTAAAAAAGCCTCATTGTGTAATATCTCCTGTACATACATCTATTCAGTGGAATACAAGGATGTTTATAGGCTTTTAGTCATACTTATTCTTCAGTAGGGAGGCTCTTAAAGCATATATTATGTAGAAATTTAAATCAGTCCACTGATTGTGAGGGAATCCAGAGAGAAAAAGGGAAGGGACAGGGAAAGAGGCTGCCAACTTTGCTGTTATGGTTGTATCAGCACCTTACTTTGAGCAGTGGAGTCTGAGGGGTGTGACCAACCCAAACTGCCCAGGATCACAGTACCTTTGTGTGGCTGATACGGAAGGGGCCTCGAGAGACTTGCTTTGAGATCAAATGTCTTCTTAGCGCTTGTGGGTTCTGCAGAGTGAGCTGCAAACTTGAAGGGGGTGATAACTACAAAAGGCATCAAGAGATCGTTCTTAATTACAGTGGTAAGAAAGCTGTACATAACAAGTTGGAAAGTGCCTGTGAAAGCCACCTTACAACTATCAAGACCAGAAGGCCATTAGATGCTACCGCCTGCTGCCTCTAAGGATGGAATTGCACAGATACAGCTTGCTTGAAATAGGGAGCTTTGAGGTATGGAGAGAGCAAGAGTTGTAGAGCATTAACCCTTTTGCTCCAATTATGCTACACAATAGCATATATAGCTCCATGTATTTTTCTACTCCTTCAGAGCAAACCATGTTTCCTTGTCTCTGTGCTTATTTGGAACCAAGTGGATTTTCACACTAAAAAACCCCAGCATTCCTTTGGAACACAGCAGCTTCAGATCAGCGGTGGAACTTTTCTTTCCCCCTAAAAAACATCAGTATTGTCATACAGCAAGGCAGACAACTCTGGGTTCCTGCCCTGTGCCAATGTACATGTGACATTCAGATATCACTGGTTAGATAGCAGAGCTGTGCTGGTACAGAGATCACAGAATCATTCAGGTTGGAAAAGACCCTTGGGATCATCGAGTCCAACCATCAGCCCTACTCTACAAGTTCTTCCCTATACTATATCCCCCAACATCTCATCTAAACGACCCTTAGGCACATCCAGGGATGGTGATTCCACCCCCTCCCTGGGCAGCCTTTTCCACTCTCTGACCACTCTTTCTGTGAAAAAATTTTTCCTCATGTCCAGTCTGACCCTCCCTTGTTGCAGTTTAAAGCCATTCCCTCTTGTTCTATCACTAATTACCTGTGAGAAGAGACCAACACTAACCTCTCTACAATGTCCTTTCAGGTAGTTGTAGAGTGATGAGGTCTCCCCTCAGCCTTCTCTTCCTCAAACTAAACAGTCACAGCTCCTCCAATCACTCCTCACAGGATTTATTCTCCAGGCCCAGCTTCATTGCCCTCCTCTGCGCTCGCTCCAGCACCTCGATATCTCTCTCGTATTGAGGTGCCCAAAACTGGACACAATACTCAAGGTGTGGCCTTGCCAGTCAGAAGAATTCTGCTTTTTCGTATGAGTTTTAGTTCCTGAATTAATTAGGGTTGCTGGGGCTGGCAATAACAGGGTGTCCTACAACACAGCCAGAAGCCTGGTACATGCCAGTCCCGCAAGGAGAATGAGACCTCTGAGAAGGCATCAGGGACTCCTCTCACCACAGACAGGATCTCCCTGTACCTCTTACACAAATCTTTTGCTACATAGTCCCTAGAGGTCTAACAGATTTTCTATATTTTTTTCTGTAGATAGCTAAGTACCATATGTTTAAGTCTTAACACCTAATCATTTTAGTCAAAACACTGGAAACCAAAGGAAACAAAGAAACTACTGCAGTTTCTAAAGAATTGGTCATAAATTAGAGAGTGAAATTAAAACCTGGGTGCATGACATTAGGTTATAAAAAAATTATATAACAATTTAATAAGTGTCTTCATCTGAGAAACCCAAATATTTACCATCCATTTTACTCACCCTTTGATGCAGCCACATCATTATTACTTGCATTTCCCTTGCTGTTTTTCTGACTTATTAGTTTGCAACTCTTTTGGTTATCAGGTGTGCAGATTGCCTCCAAGTATGGAGACATTCTAGATGGAGTCTTGGTAAGAGAGCGTTTATGCTCATTATCTTCTGTGGCTTCTGAGAACCTGAAAATTATTAGAAATATGAAGACAAAGTCACCTACAAGGAATGTAAGCAATGTGACAGAGTACAGCAGGTTCTGTGTTCTTACTTTTCTTACAGGTGGAAATATACTGTGTATAAGATGTTCACAGCTTATGCATAAACTGGACTAAAAGTAACTTGAAAACTGACAGCAAGGGTATAAGCCTTCATCGATAACAATAAGTAATATTAGGAATTACAGAGAACTGACTTTGTTATTTTGGAGAACAAACATATTTGGATGCAATAAGTTAGATTTCTTTACCAACAGAGATGATTTACTTTAGATTTGAATTCTGTAGTAAAACATATGAATATTGTTAATTTTAAAATTCAGATTTAAAAAACTGAAAGAAAATTAACAACAAAACTCTAGAACTTGGATATACAAGAGGAAGAAGCTGGAAATTTTAGTCAAAAACCCCACAAGTTACCAGCATACCAAGACACACACATGTGCTGTACATATGTGTGTGTATACATATATTTTTAATGTGTATGTATGTATACATAAACACAAAAGAAAATTCAGAATCTTGCATGAAGTAATACCCTTACCAAAAAGGTACTGAGTAAGCTGAAAGCCTGCAAGATATGGAAAGACAGTGAGTAAACATTGAAGAAAGCTATGTTGTGAGGGCTAGGAAGTTTATGGATGAAGTGCAGCTTGCAAGATCCACCCTGGCACATGTTTGGACAAATAGAAAGAAACCAAATTCTAAGAGTGTTGTTTTGTTCTACGTATTGCTAAGTAGGTCTGCAGTGAAGACAAAGACCATTCGACAGGACACCACAGGCAGAATGAATATTGTTTTCATTTGTTGTTACTGAATTCAAAGATAGCACATTTAAAGTAGAAACAAAGCCAGTAAGTTTACAAGCGTGAATCACACAGAATTGTCTAGGTTGGAAAAGACCTTGAAGATCATCCAGTCCAACCATTACCATGATTTTACAAGGAACCTGTAATCTTGACCTTTGAATAGCAGAACTGCATTCAAGAGTCCCACAATTATTTATTAGGAGATGTCAACATTAGAAGTTGCCCTGACTTCACAACAATCCCACACACAATTTATTCAGGGACAAAAAAGTCCCCGCAGCTATAATCTTGACATGTAAAAATTGAGAAGTGAAGGTTATCAGGAAAATGGAAAATAACGCAACTGACACTTGAGATTAAGTGGGTATTGTTATCAGGGGGAGAAGGATAAGGGTAGATTATAGACTGTCTAAATCTGAACTTCAGTCACTGTGGAAAGTTTAGTAAAATGAATAAAGTTGGAATTAGTATTATACAATAGTTAGAAACCAACAAAGAAATAGTAACGACAAGGAAACACTGGAAAGAAAACTGGGCAAAGGTCATTTATTAATGGAGCACCATACAGACTGTCCTATTGATTCCTCCTTTTATAAGTTTTTTGTTCTAGACTTTGTAAAAATGAGCTAATAAAATTTACTGATAGCAGAAGTTAATGAAATATTAACATAACAGAGAATTAGATTACTGTGTAGGAATAATGAAATGTGTGTGATGTTTTAAAAGGAACGGAGATGAGATTTAATAGCATTGAGTACAAGTTCATTCATTTAGCAATTCCTCTTGACTTTCTGATGTCAACTTTGTTCCCATCTGCTAGAAACAACCTGCTTGTAGTAGTCACTCACAAGAGAAGCACCTGCTGCAATGTCAGGGGGGAAGGGGATGGAAGAAAGGAAAAAGATAGTACTCCAAAAACCCCCAAATAACTCCATTGCAAGACTCACCCAGAATGCTGCATACAGTTCCAGTTAAGTAATCTCAAGGATAAATTGTTCAGATATGAGAGGCTATTATGTTGCCTGACAAAGTGGAAAACCTAACAAGTAAGAGACAAAACCCAATTTGGCTTGTCTGGTTTAGCAAAATGAAAGCTCTAAGAGATGCAAGATTCCTCTACCATCAGACATCAAAATGAAGAATCAAGATAGTAACAGTACAGTAAGGCTTAAACCAGCCATTAAGCTAGGCTGAAAGTGAGCAATCAGAATTAGTCTCATGTAGTTTAGTTCATGCCTGGAATAGAAATCATGTAGTCAAATCACTATCAGTGTTAATTATTTCAGGTGTATCATACCAAATTTCTCACTGGTAGTTTCAGTTTGTTCTTTTTACCTGACATTCATTTTGGATGTTGAAAGGACAGAAGGATTAAATGAAGATTTCCTAGATAAAATACTCCGATTGGCAGTGTTCAGAGAACTGCGTGGTGAACGCCGGTGGTTACTAGGAGTGCAGGTAGCAGAGGATCTGCCTCTCTCTGGATCTGAGCTGAATAACAATGTTTTGCCACTGGTTTGTTTCTAGGAAAAAGCAAATCATGAGTTAGCAGACTCTGCTAAACATTTATCAGAAAAGCAGCTAAGGGAAAAAACACAATGAATCAGAAGCACAGGGTCTCTTGAGTTTTCCCCTTCTTTAAAAGCATATATTAAAACATAGTTTTATTTTCATTAAACTGATCCGAAAACACGTACCCTAGAATTGCAATGTGGAGTGCCTTTTTCTGATGCTCTCAATGATACAGTTCTTTGGCCAGTTAGGTAGTTATTTGCCTTAAGTACACATTGTATCAGTGTATGCCATAGAAAAGAGAAACTTGGTGTTCAGGAGTTTGTGTTACGGTTTTGGTATGGCCATTGACAGATTCATTTATTTATGAATCAATACATTACAGTGACTTTTCTAAGGTCTGCAGCACTCAAAGAGGCCCTTTTAGCAACTTTCACCCATGCAAGCGTGAAATACAAGAACTGACAACTGGGGGCACTGGGAACAACACAGATTGCATATATTTTAAAAGAGTCATATGCAGCCATTGTCCAATGTTTAAGGCACAAAAGAGGAACTTAATCTTCAATTCCCACTTTTTGAAAAAAACCTCATCCTCATAGTTAAGTTCTGCAGCAATTCAAGCAGTTGTAAACAAAAGCTCCAAGAGATCCTTCACAAGAGTAATTGTGACAATTATTTTTACTCAAAACTGACAAGTTATTTGTTGGTTCCTATAGCTGTAACCATACACTGTTAATATATAAAAACTTATATAACCATATAAGTTATATGCAAATAACTATATATAACTAGTTATATAGGACTGCAGCTAAATTTCACTGATCATAACATTCCACTGCATGACACATGACCAGCTACTTACAGCTCTAGAGATTCTACAGGACTTTTACAGAGAGGCTCTGGAAATAAGTGAATGCAGGAACAATGGGTATCTTCCTGTGTTATCACTTACCTTGGCTTCGTTGACAGAACTGCTGCTGTTTTCAAGCAATTTTTTTTTTCTCTCAATGTAGTCAGCAATAGATTCCATTTTCTTGAAGTGAGCCTCATGCAACTTCTTAAAGTCTAAGAAGTTCCAAAAATAAGAAGTCACATATCTGATAAGCTCCTAATGAAGTTTACTTAATCAGAGAATCTTGCAACACCTATCATTATGGCCTCAAGGAAAATATAACATATGCCCATAATTAAGAATTGTATATGTACAAGTAACCAAACAGTGTGAAACAATCTGCTTCACCTGCTGACAGCACCAGTCATCTGGTGCATGCTCTGGAGAATTATAAAATCATAGAATGTTTTGGGTTGGAAGGGACCTTTAAAGATCATCTAGTCCAACCCCCCATTTCTGCAGTTAAAGAAAAAAAAGAAATACATTCATTAGTTTAAAATTTGGCAGTATTTTATGAAGCAATAAAATTTACCTAATGCACATAATTGCTACTGCTGGGCTGTGTTACTAAAGTGAAAACTACACAACCAGGAGTAACAGCGTGTCTTCATCTGCTCGTTGTTTTGAAATTCACTAATGCAAGTATATATCCAAAATATATCCAAAAAACAGTGTTTGACAGATCAGTTTTATAACATACATGCAAGTCATTTACTACTATGACTTTACAAGTTGGAAGATATATCTTAAAACTTAACCTTTGGGAACTCTTTTTTTGCTTGCTTTTTAAAGAGAGGATGTTCTTCAAGCAGAAAGAGATTTTTAAAACCCAAATTTCTAAGTCAAGTCTCCCCTCACACACAAGACAACATAGCTACTTCTAAAGTTGGTAGAGTATCTTACTTGGTGTAGTAGCTTTGACTCCTGTTTTCCCAGACCTAGATACACGGCCTACATATAAAGGGATCTTCCCTCCTGTGTGATGAGCATTGCCTAGTACAGTAAGAGCACACAAAATCATTATAACATCTGGAAAATACTTTGTCATCATAACCTTTTCAAAATTATTTGTTCCAAAACACACCTAAAGTGGGTTTAGGTTTTAAGAAATAAAAACATCACTGGAATAGATATCTCCTAAGTCTCTCAGAGGCCCTTTAAATCATATGTCAGCAACAGCATGTATCTTTTACAGTCATACTAGGTTATTACCTTTCAATAGTAAAGTATTTTATGGGGGAAGTTAACAAGATAACTATGCTCCTGGGAAGCAAAACCACCTTTAAACTCACAGGTCTTGATCTGTTTCATAAGCTAGAGTTATTTAAGTGTTGATAACAAAGAAGAAATACCTTTTGGCCATCTCTGCTGCTGCTGCCTTACACACATATACAGATCCTAAATTCTTTTTATTATCTCTGCTCTCAGGCATAGTATTAAGCTCATGTTCACATTTTAGTGATTAATTTTATTTTATTAAGAAAAAAAAAAATCAGGTAAAGACTCCACAAGTTCAATGTTTGCATATATTGAAAGCAAACATTTGTTTTTCTCTTAATTCACATCCCCTTTAAAGTAAAGTTGGATGATTTCAATACTGAATATACTGAAAGAAATCCTCACTGGAAGCAAATAATGGGTGGCTGTTGAAAACAAACAAACAAACAAACAAAAAAATCAACTTTTCACCACTAAGTGCAGACATAGTATTTTTGTCACAAAACTCTTGCTGTCTGAAACTACTGAAAAAAAGAAACAAAAACCCTAGAAAGTATGGAAACTCATAATTACAGGAAGAGAGGTGTAATGTGCCAATGATCAGGATGAATGCTTCCTCAACCAAAGCATTCTCTACATATTCTGTTGCTTCTTGTCTTTAATGTCATCTTAGAATGAAAGCGACAAAACCTGCTCATCTGGAGGAAAAGAAAAATGAAGCATGAGGAAGGCAGCTCTCCCTTTCTTGCTACTTTTTAAAGGAGCCAGGTGGCATTTCAGAGTGTTCCAAAAGGCACTGATCCTAAATATCAGGTCCAGAGTTCTGAAGCCAAGCCAGCGTAATTCCTACACTGCAGCATTTGTGGATTTGTGTTACAATTTGTCAAACAAGTACACAAACAAGACAGATTTTTTTTCTGGTGTCCTCAAATAAGGTACTGATCATCAGACATGCCACAAAAATCTTAGTAGACAATAAAATAATCAAAAGGTGCATTTCAGGTAGTACAAATTACTAAACTTACTTTTTCAGAATTTTCTACTTACATTGATCTCCACTAACTTTAGTAGAAGTCTTCCCTGGTTGTTGTTTCTGACCAGGACCTATCCCTGGACCCTCAATATCCTTCTTTTTAGTTACTTCTTCCTCATTTTGGAATACCTTCTGTTCCTTTTGATGCTCAGCCCGAGGCACTTTGTTTTCTTTCATTTCCGAACGCTCCTGCAGTTTAAACATACTTCATTTAAACAGTCTGTTCTGACTGGTTATAAAGAAAGGCTGTTTTGAGAACAGTCAGTCACTGAAACAGGTTGCCCAGAGAAAATGCCTCTGAAGTTTTCAATATCAGATTAGATAATGCCTTAGGCATTGTGGTCTGACCTTGTAGTTGACCCTTCTTGGATTGGGAGATTGAGCAAGACTTTCTCAAGTCCAACCTGAATTAACCTGTGAAATACTTATTTCGCAAACAGATCTATATTAGAAAGCTTTTACCTGCACAGCTCTAACATTTTAGTATAAAACTGCCTTTATTGGCAAAAGCTAATTATTTGCAAGTAAAAATAAATTTACTGGCTATGTTACTTTTTAACATTGCAGCTTTGGTTACTGTACAATCCTTTATGTAACACTAACAGGCTAACTCATCTTCTCATTTCCCTCCTCTAACTCTAAATCAGTAAAAGTCTTTCACACAGTTTTCAGTTCACCCAATACTTGCACGTAATTCTAGAGAAAAACAATCCTACTGCCATCTCACCTTGAGACTTCCCTCAGTCATACAACCCACAAGCAAAGAACCCACTGAGAGGAGCGGGAATTCAAAAAATTCTGAAGTTAAGGCAATCATCTAACTTCTGTTATTTTTTTTCTACATAAAGAAATGGAATATAGCCTTATTTTAGATAAATTCTGAAACTAGTCTCATATCTGGAATACTATAATGAACTAGTGAAAGAAGTCTTACATTCAGATGAAGAGTTTGGAATTGTATATTAGAGAAATTTAAATTATTTCCTTGAAGTAATGACTAGCAAGTAATCTCTATTCATTATGGAATAGCATGTAGTTAAGATGGACAAAATCAGTGCTACAAAGTACAGAAGACCAGTACCAGAACATTCACATAAGAACTTCTATATATAAATATACACACACAAAAAATACACACCATGTGCTAAATGGTGGTAGGAAAAAAAAAAAGTGCTTAAATTATGCTTGGGAAAAGAGGAAGGATGGCCAGCACACAAAATCAAGCAATGCAAATTCACCTCTTTATCACAAAGACTTGTATTTTCTTCACTGGTATTATTTTCCACACTGGTGTTTCTCTTTTTCTGGGTTATTCTCTTTCCTTTACCACGTCGCTTTGTAATAAAACATACTGAATCGGGCATAATTTCCTCCCAATTGGTCAGTTCATTTGATTCGATGGAAGCAGATGCAGGTTTTTCAGAGTCCTGTAGCAGAAAAATACCATAATGTGGAACATATCTGATACAAACATAAATTAGATACTCTAAAGAGACAGTTTCAATTTTATTATTGAAAAAAGCATTTCACACAGAGGAAACACAGTAGCATGCCATTTAGGAATGCAGTAATCAAGAAATTTGCAGTATCTATATCTCCCTAAACAAAGCTCATTGTCTGAAGACTTTAAAAAGAAGTCCTACAGTTGTTTTATTATATAGCATTTTAAATAAGATGATAAAAGCCTAATCCTTTATATCTGTAATCTGACTTGCATAATGCTGTGACCCTCCCAGATTTGCACGTTCCTGTGGAATACTGTCCTCTAAAAAAAAAAAAAAATCAGAGCCTCTTCCATTCTTGTTAAAAATTAAAAATAAGCTGACAAGGATTACACCTTGCCGTCAAACCTTTAAAGAAGATTTTAACTTAAAGGGAGACATATTTTAGAAAAAGAAAATAACAATTTACTTTCTATCAACAATGTAAAAACCATTGCCATATCCAACAAAATAATTCAGCTTACAGAAGAAAAAAAACTTAAAAAAAAGTTAGGAAACAGTACATTAAGATGAAACATCATGATTGTATCGCTTTCATTATAATGTAAATAAAATGTAGTAATACAAAATCCTTTCCAAAGAGTATTTAGTCCCTTTCATCTAGGCATGCAAATATAAGAAATTTTTATATTTGGTACTGCCTGGAGCTAAAAAAAGCAAGATTTAATTATATTTTGGACTGAGGCTGAAAGATAACATTGTTAATTTTCACAGCTGAAAGGAAATCAGCTTTAGGTCATATAGGAGGCCACTTCAAAGATAGTATTAGCACATCAGTTTCTATCAGTACATGAGTGCATTAAACTAAAGGCACTATTAAGAAAAATATATTTTTATTACAGCTCACATCATGGTAAAAGCCAGCCTTCAGTACATGCCCTGCTCTACTAGTTACAAAGCTAAGCCCACGTCTTTTAAAAAGAATGGCTGATCTATTATCTATTACCATATTTTCATTTTCTTGTTTTGCTCCATGAAAGTGCTGCTGCAGTGCCTTCAACAATTTGTCTGCCTAGAGAGAAATCAAAACAACACTTCAACCAAACATCGCATTAAGTCATCAAACAAAAAACTGGCTAAACCCAACTAGTGTCCTATAAATTGATCCAGCAAACAAGCAGAACATTTCCTGAGTCCAGTGGAACAAGGCATGCATAAAGCTCCATTCAAGTCAGTCAGATTAGAGAAAGTACTAAGAAATATGGATTATATATATAAATAAATTAGAAAATATAAGTGTTAATTATATATAAAGACAAATATGCAGCATATTTTCCACAGAGGCACAAAGACAAGTTTATCCAACTAGGTTTATGCCAGTGTGTCTATTTTCGAGAAAGTTTAATTATTCAAGGATGAGCGAGACTGTTTTTAGAAGCGCTGCATATCTGAATGTGAGTTAAAATTGTATCAGATTTCTGTTTTGCCCACGCTACATGCAAAGCATTCTTCTCACCCATCGCATACATTCAGCGATAATAGCAGTAAATAACAACTACATGATTGATATTTTAGGCTAGAAAAGACTCTTAAATAGCTAATTGGAAAGGACAGCATAAAATCAAACTTGAACTATAAGTTTAACGACAAAATAACGCACAACTAAAACCCCAAGGAAGAAGCCTTAGCCTTGTGAGGACAGGGAGTTCCTTTGTCCACTTCAGTCGCGGATCTTATTTTTTTTTAGGGCTTTGTGCCTTCTCCCACTGTTGGCGCAGCAGGCGGACTGCGCCCCAGGGATTTACTAGCGGTGCCTACCAGGAGAGACCGAGCCGCTGTCAGAAATCTGCAGCTCTAGGCTAAAGAGACCGGTGCATGCTTCAGCTTCTCTTTCTTAACCACGACGGGTAAACAAACACACGCACTCTCGTCCCTTAAGGCACCAGCTCCGACTCCTAAGAAAACCCCAGCAGCTACCAACGCGCCTCCAGCCCCGGAAGGGGCCGGGGACCGAAGGCTCCCGTCGGTGTAGCGCCCAAAACGAGAACAACTCCCCCAGGGACGGGCGGGGCGCGCTCCCTACACGACGCTCGCTCCCCGCGGCCCCAGAGCCGGGACCGCTCCGCGCAGGGCGGGCGGGATCCCAGAGCTGCCCCCAGCCGCCCCTGCCCCAGCCGCCCCTGCCCCAGCCGCGGCGCTGCCCCCGCCTCACCCGGAGGTTAGCCTTCAGGCCGGCGGCCTTCGCCACCCGCTGCAGCTCGACGTATTTCAGCGACTCCAGGTGCGGGAGCGAGGAGAGCGCCATGGCCGCAGGAGCCCCCGGCCTAACCGCCGCCCTTCAAATCTCGCGCTCAACTGACGCGGCGCGCCCCGCCCCCGCCGTTCGAACTCGCCCGCCTCGCCGGGCTATTGGCTGGGCGGGGCAAAGGAGGCGTGCCCGGGGGTACGGAAGCCACCAATAGCGGCACACCCACCGAAACCCAATATTTTTCAAGCGCCATAGGCCCTTCCTGGAGAGGGGAAAGCCCCGCCCTCTCCTGTTGATTGGGCATTCTAATGACACGGTACCGCCCACTTCCCAATCATTTCGGGCGGTGAGGATTGACGCACACGGTGCCCAATGGCGCCGCAGATCGGTGAAGCGCGCGCAAACAGAGAGGCCAGGCCCGCGCGCTCAAATGCGGGGCGGGAGAAGATGGCGGTGCGGCGGCAACTGAGGGGTTTTTTTCAGGAATCGCAGTTCAGCGGCTTCGTCACTGTGGAGAGGCCGCTCTCCCGTGCTGGTTCCCTGTGCTACTCGCAGTTCTCTTCATCTCCCTCGCCGCCGCCGCCGCCCGCGAAGGTGGCGGCGTTGCTGCCGCGGCAATGGGAGCCGCCGGTGGAGGACTGCGCTGTATTCCACTGCCGCGACTGCTGGGCGGTGCTGGGGGACTCGCTGCACCTGTGCGCGCAGAAGGAGCAGTGCGGGATTGGCTTCCTTGTCTGCTTCAGTCAGTGCCAGGCGGGCGGAGGGGCTGGGCCCCGCGGGGGAGGGCCGGGGAACCGGCTCTGGAGGTGTCTCGTTTTGAGCCGGTCTCTCTTTCTCCGCAGAAGTCACGAACGACGTGACGTGGGAGGACTCGCTCGTGATGGGCCTCGAGGGAGCCCTCCTGGGATGGTGCGTAGCTCGCCTTGCTCTTGCCTTTAGCCCCCGGCCTGCCGGGAGCAGCCGCCGCGGTAAAGCCCTGTGGGCAGAACCGGACTTGTGTAAAGCTGGGAGCTGGGAGCTCCGCTGGCTTGTGCCCTGGGGTTGCCTGCGGGCTTGGTAAGATTCCAAGTGCTTTTTGTGCCCCTGCTTCGTCATTTCGGATGGAGAAACCTTTTGTAGGTATGGAGGTCTCGCTTTTGTCAAAATCATGAGTTTTGCTCCTCTAAACTTAGTGGAACGTTTAAGCAGCACAGTAAAAGACAGCCTAGCCTTTCGGGATCTTCTGTAAGAAGAAAAGATCTGTTACCTAAATTAAAGCATCTCTTTTGGTTGGGTTTTTTAATTGGGTTTTAGTGGGTTTTTTTAAATACTAAAACCGAATAACTTATGCAGTGCAATTTGCGACCCTACAACTATCAACAGGTTTGGTAACACTGGGATTAGTCTGATAGGAAGGATGTAAATACCACCTCAGGGCTTACAGAAACAGTAGTTAAAATGATGTTTAAAGGTTATTTTGCAAACTATAAGGGCTGGGACCTTTTTAAATATGACTTTTTTTTTTTCCCCTCTCTTTGCATGAGGCTATTATAATCTCTTTTTATCAGGAGGAAATTCACATCTGTGACCTGGCACAGGCATTGTTTTACCAGTTAAATTATGTCTGAGTAGTATAGCCTAAACCACTCTGATAATGACATTTTCTTCTTTATAATTTTTTTTCTTTAATTGCAACTTATTACAGAGATTATATTTCCTCATACAACATGCCCAACTTTTTATGTTCACATTCTCTTTGTATGTATTATTTTTTAAAGAAAAAGCATTATTATGTTTTGATTTGCTGGCCTAATAGAATTGAAGATTTGGTGTCCTCTGACAAGCATACAGTTTCAGAAGCCTCTGTTTAATAATATTTTTCCCTTTCTCCTTTTAGTGCTTACAATAAGTTATGCTGTCGGGTATGTGGCTTAATCGTGGGCTTCATTCTTTATTCTGCCTCCCGTGACCTGGCATATCTCCGAGGCTTCTTCTGTTTCTTCCAAGACAGCATCCTCTGGTGAGTATACTGTATTCATACAGTCAGTGATTTCATGGGGAACTTGTAAGTTATTACAATACATCGTACAACTAATTTACAGATAACAACAGCGGCTTTACCTTTGACTGAGCACATTGGTGTGGGATTTTAATACCCTCTATGTTTAAATTGTTTGTATTGGTGTCACTCCCTTCGATTTGCCTTGCACTTCTTGAGTGTCCTCATGTAATGTCAAAGTTTAAATTTAGTTGTTTGCAATACTAAAATCACCTTCAGTTCCAGATCTGCTTAGCTAATGTAAGGTATTAACAGAGTTCCACGATAGATTGAGGATATGACTACAGAAACTGTGAATTACTTATAGCTGATGATTATAGCTCTTATAACTTATAGGTCTTAGGATTTCAAAGTAAAACCACTGTTTTAAATATTTTCATAATGTATTGACTACTTTTGGCAACAACTTCAAAATAATCTTAAATAATCTGTCTAAACAATGAATGCAACTGTTTTTTAACTCCTTTTCTTGGTTTTTTTTCCCTTTCCCCTTTTGTTTTCCAGTTATGTCTTAAAAAAACAAATTATAGTAGAAGCTTCTAAGGTGAATTTTCCTGCTGTGACCCTAAAGGAACAAGTGCAGAAAGTAAGGTTTTTACATTAATTTCTATTGAAAATATTTTTAAAATTCTGGTATTTTTGGATATTAGTCCAAAAATATTTATACAGTTTTTTTTAAGTGTATAAGATGGATAAAAATACTGACTTATACTATGATTTAAATGCATGAGACGTGCAAACATTTTCTAGAACCACTTATCTGCAAAACATACTGAGTTCTAACAAATTTTTTTACAAGAATGTGTTATCCTTTTATCTTTGCGCTTTGAAAAGAAAAAAATGAGAATCACTTAGACTTTGCTTAAGTATTACTACTTGTGTTGTACCTATAATTGATAAGTCACTGTTGAATAATTAAAAAAATAGCAGTGTGTTAATTTGTAAGGGATTCTAGCACAGCTGCATTTGTGGCTATGTAAGCTCAAAGCAGCATGGCAATGTTTACTTTTAGCATCAGAGACAATACTAGATTCGCCCTTTTCTTTTGGTGTTTAAGTTCTTTTCTGTAACTTCGTTAGTTGTTAACTTAGTAAATTATCAGTCTCATAGCTCAAATAAAGTTACTGTGTGTAGGAGACAGCCAGTCTATCCAGTATTTATGTGCTTAATTGTTCTTTACTATTTTTTCTTTTTAGTTTCTGTTCTTAGCATGAAAATGGGCCCGTGACATTTCTTAAATTTTGCCCTCTTTAAAGTTATCTTCCAGTGTCTTACATCAGAGTGTTTTTGTAGGTCAAGTGAGGCTAAAATGCAAGTCTTATCCAGGCACTTCTAAAGTTGAGACCCATTTTTTAAGTAAAAAAATGGTAGTACTTCATTGCAAACATGGAGAGCTTGCTTGTTGGCTGGAACAAGTGCAAGAATCTCATGTTTTCTTTTTGAGACGCAATGTCAGCAGGATTTTACTCTTGTGCTTTCAATGTGTTAAGTTAAACCCCAGATTCTAGAAATGGCGTTTTGGAGGGACTGTCCACATGTAATCCTGAACTCATAATGAAACTGTGTCCACATATTGTCAAAGAAGGTCTCTGGCTGTGTAAAAACTTGCAGTGAGTTAACTAGGAAAGATTCGATTGATCATGTTAAGGCTCCAGCAACTCTGCCTCCTTAAGTAGAGTATTTCTGTATGTCTCTGAAAGGGTCATTCATCTCTCTCCTCTTCGCAGTGCAGGCCTCTGATTTGGGTGCCAGTTCTGGCTGTAACTAGCCATGCATTTGAAGCCTGGTATAATTTTCCATCTTGAAAGTCAGCTGCTCTTTAGCCACTCAAAGTGGGGTGCAGATCATTCAAAGATCCAGCGTTAGGACATTTGTCTCTAGCTTTAATACTCTTATTTCTCTTTTTTCCTAGCTGAAAGAAAAACTTGTGGAGATCCACATTCGCATAGAACTTCTGATAAAGCAGCTGCAGGAACTGAAACAAAATAATAATGTGTCAGAAAGGCAATGGCAAAGGTCTGCATCAGATGCACTTGGCCAGCATATGCAGTAGTCAGGGTCAACTAATAATATGCAGTTTTCAAGAACTGCTGGAGTTGTTCCTGCATCTCTGCTGAGTTTCATTATGATGAAGTAAAGCACCATAATGGGTTTGAGTGTTGATCTGTCATTTTATCTGTGTATGGAAAGAACTGATGCTTAAGTGCATCCCTTCAGTCTACATGGAGCACCTGGAAATCTGACAAACTGAAGTTATGCTTGGGAAAATGAATACCTCACCCATGCAGCACATCACTCTCTGAGACAGTAGTGTAACTGTGACTTTGGTTTTGCCCCTGAAGTCATTACAGAGAATCAGCCTTTGAAATACTAAAATCACGTTTCTGGAACTATGCAAAACATAGTAACAAGATGATAGTCAATGCTGAACTTTCTTACAGAGATCTTGAACTCCTACCTTTTCATAGGGTATGGTGTCAGTGGCAGCTAGCTGTTGGTCAAGTGGCTCCTTAGCTACATTTGGTAGGTGAGACACTGCTGAATGGCGTCCTGATTAGTTCTTTTAGATATGCTTGTATGTGGGGCCTGCAAAAGGAGCAAGCTAGAATGTCACAGAAATTGCATGGTGTGTTTAGTACATGAATCTGGATGGCACAATGCTGGCCGGAGTACAAGGTTTTGGATTTCGGATTCAAGGGCAACCAACATGCCTTCCAAGTCCTCTGGAAGTGCAGCCTCATGACTGCACAGGACTGAGGCAAGTTCTGGCAGCTCCATGAAGCTTAGGCTGTGAGCAGCTGCCTTTAACAGATTTAAGCCTTTCTGGGGCTGAAGCTGTGAAACCAAGGAACAATCTTTTGTTCTTCACCTCTGCTCAGTTGTGAGAAGACTGCTCTGCTGAAGTTGTGATGATCTGCCTGCTGCCTTCGCTTGAGCAGGCAAGATGTTTCATAAAAAATCTGTAGTGGGTACTTCTGGGCATTTCTCTATTTTGAATGGATTCTGCTTCTTTCCAAACACCTAGAAAGTAATTTGATGGAAAAGAATGCTGCTTACCCCTTGTTATTGGGACAGAGCATCTTTATCCTTAATTCTTGATAATTGGAGTATTAAGGATACTTTTTCCTCTCCCTTTTGCTGCGTAAAGAGCTGATGTTTTAAACCTTCCATAAAGATTAGTAGTTGTCTGTAGTAGTCAGAGGTTTGTATTTACTTGATCAGCTTCATTCCAGTGATGCAATTTGTCATTCCCTTCTGCTTCCATGTATGACTGGCTGATTGCACTCCATTGCTGCTGCAGCTGCCCAGTACTCCCTGTATTTCATGGTCTTATTTGTAAAATAACTCTTGTAATAGGCTTGGAGCAGAAGAAACAAAACTAACTGCAAGGCACTTCAGAGGCTTTAGGTGGGCAGCTGGTACTTCTGCTAATGTTCACTGTGCTGCTTTTTTGATTAAGAGTTCTGGGTTGTCTCAGTTCATTCTGATTAAGCAATAACATAGAATATCAACAGACATTCTGCAGGGAGAGGAGGGGTGCTCTGTTAAATTCTAATACCATATGCTGTCTAAATTATTTTTATTGTTTGTTTTACAGATTTGACAAGCATAAGTGCAAAAATATAGTGCTTATCAGTAACAGCTAAATTCAGGATATTAAAAGTATAACTACCTGAAGTAAATGTTACATGCTTCTAAGTTCTGTTTCATGGCCTGTAATGATAAATATTGTCTTCTCTAAAATGAGCTCTATCCTGATTCCTTAACTGGAAGGTGGTTCTGAAAAGTTGTCACAGTATATGCATGTAAAGTTTAGATTTGCTGTATTTGATTATTTCATTAAGAACAAAGAATTTTTTTAAGTTGTGTTGTGCAGTGATTTACGCATTATGTTTAAGGGCCAGCTGGTCTCTTGTGACCACACTCATACTGTGCAAGCATCTCCCCATCTCAGGTAAACATTGGTCTCTTGTATAAATTCACCTTTGTGTTACTTTCAAAGTGACAGCCTTTTTGTTGTTACATCAGTCTATGAAACATGATTGATGACGGGACTACACACTTATGCCCTTTTGCTCTGGTTTCTGCACTGAGACTGTTTCTTGTTACATACTTCACATCTATACTGTGTGTAACAGTGTTAAATTGTCTTGCTTCATTTAGCTAAGTGTCCACCCCTAAAAGGAAAATAAAGCTGTCAATTACATTTTTTTTTATATTATTCAGTTGTAAATAAACGGTTTTTAAAAAGCTGACTATAGAAATATATATTGTGCAGATCACTGATAATACCATGTGAGTCATGAGCCCACTTTTTCATAGATTATGTTTGCAGAAAAAAATATCAGTTTATCTTGCTTGGATTATTGGTCCATTATGAAGCATTACATTAATGATTCCTCATATTACATATTGTTTAGTACATAGCATGAATTTGAGCAAGTAATTGCTGGCAAGTTGGGGGTTTTAAAAAAAACTACACTTCTCATCTCTGGAAGTGGGAGGCCCTCCACTGTAAGTCAAGCTGTGGTCCTTGATGTCTATGTCAAGTGATGTGTTTTCTTGGCACTGACGACTGCCTGATGCACCTGCTCACAGCAGCACAGTGTTAGAAGTAAATTCTGGTTTAAGACACAAACCACACAAAATGAATGCATTATCTTCAGAAATCAGAGATGAACACTTACTGAAATATCAACCAATGGGTGCACTTTAAGTGATGCTTATGAACTTTTTATTCCTGAAAGACCTGGCGTTTGATCCCAGAGCCTGTCCTAGATTCAAATTCCTCTTACTCTACAATTAATCAGTAAATACTAATTTTGCTTATTCTAGTGTAGAACCTAATCTTCTCTCGTGAGGCATCTTGAGAGATGTGTTCTAGCTTTAAGTGCAGCCAGGGCCAGTCTGGCTTGGGAGAGATGGGTTCCCTTTATAAAGGAATACCAACCACTTAGAAAGTGAGTCTCAAGGTCAGGCCTTCTGATGTTAGCTATCCAGCAGCCATCTTCTCTTGATCTAAAAACAACTAGAAAATGAAACAAATTAAGGTGGTTGAACAAGCTACTGAAGTAATTAACAATCATACTGTGGGTTTCTTGTAAGCTAGTGTAAGGGTTTGCAACCCATAGCAGGTTTTGGAAAGCTTATATCAGTGTTGGGAGTCGTGGCTTCTTCAGTATAGTCCCCATGAGGGAGACACAGCACTTCACAAAACTTGCAGCAGCAGCTGCAAGAAAAGCTGTGCCTCCCTGCAGGTTGTGACATGCCACCCACAGAAGGAATTTTTCAGAAATGTAGTTGCCAAAGCAGAAAACAATCCACATATACAAAACAGTTGTCTGAGGGCCTTTTTAATTTTAGGCCAACTATACAAGTAACGGAAGCCTTTTACTACTACCTAAACCAATCCTTGAAGCTTTTATCTGAGTATGAGTGAAGTAACAATTTTTCTGTAGATGCCTTCCAAGAAGTCGAAGGCTCTTGGAAGTAGACACGTCTCAGAAGTGGAGTGTACGGTAAGCTGGTTAACATCTTCTGAACAAATGACACATCCAGTTTTAGTGCATTCTCAGCCTGTGCTGCTTTATTGCTAAAAAAATTTGTATACAGGTGCAGAGTTTCCAAGTTCATTTTTAAACAGTTCCTCTTTACAGTGTCAAAAGAATAAAATCTTATCTTGAAATCCTCAAAGATGCATAGATATAAAAGCAAGCTGCCTTTTGGAAAAACATCAGAATTTGCAGGGAGACATTCTTTCACTGTTACCATGTAAAACGTGTGCAAGGGGAGTACATAGTTCCTAGTGACACCAATAATTCCCTTCCTTAATCTGTATGAGCATGACATCAGAAGTTCAGTATAAGTATTTTCTACTCTGTTTTTTTAAGTATGAAGGTAACTTAAGAATCTATAACTAATACTTTGCCTTTGTTGTTACACCGTACTTTTCAAAAAGAGGATATCTTCACTGACATACTAAAGTAGTTTATTCCCCAGCTTTTATACTGAAGGAAATAAGCATTAACAAAGGAGACAACTGATTACTCATCACACGAAATAAAATATTTTGAACAGAGTTTAAAACCATGAGAAGTGTTCTAAAGAATACCCAATAAAAATCAGGTGGCCGTGGTTAACTGCTGGGTCTACTTTGTTTTCCAAATTCTCATTTTGCTTGAAGTTGGCTCAAGGGATTTCATTTAGTTTAACTTCTGATACCATAAGATAGTTCTCTTATAATTTTCCGATCTTCATTTGGCAATTCTTGTGTAACTAGAAAAAGTACTCATGAGAAAAACGCAACACACACACCCCCCCTTCTAAACCCAAATCATGGTTGGCTATGAAGTATGAACAGGAGTTAACTTGACACACAATTTCTTCCTGCAAGACACTTCCTCTTTCTATTTAAGAAAGAGGACTGAGCCTCTGTACACGGAGAAGTGTTCTGCACAAGTTAAGCCCACCTACGAAATTAAGCTACGCTAGAAGTATGGAATTCTGCAGTAACAAGCTAGTATTCTACATGCTTGAATACAAGTTTAAACTTGGAAAAAAGTATTAGTGATGGAGGCTATGCCACACATTCTACGTTATTTCAAACTGCCAGCAGAAATTCACTGCATTATCCACTAAGACTTGGGAAATACTACAGAGAACACACTTAAAAGTTTACAGAAAGATGGCACCCAAATTCCCCTTTAATAAGTGAAATAAAGAAAAAAGACTATAGCAACCTGTGTTGCAGAAGATAAAAGACCTTCAGTGATCAAATCTCATTTTCTGTTTTTAAAAATCTCTTTAAAGAACTTAAAAAATATACAAGATTACCAGTATTTTCAGGTTCATTCCTGCAGGTGCCATTATTGCTGGCTGGTACCAGTATGCTTCAGTACAGCTGCCTATGTGGCTAGAGAGTTACCTGAAAATACTGTCTATTAAAAAGCTATTCAACACCTGAAATATATGTACTGTGCTTATTAATTTCAGTCTTCTCCAAATAATTTCTCTCACCACACCCAATCTTATTACCTACTGCCTGGCAAATACAACACTCAATTTGAGTCTGTGGTTTTCATTACTTGTTTTTTTGTGGGGTTTTTTGAGTTTGTTTTTTTTTTTCCCACCCGTTTCCC